CCGCAGAGAGCGGTGTTGGCCCGACTCGTGCAGGGAACTCGAGCTCGACATTCTCGGGCGAAGTCAAGTCAACAGCAACGAAATAATGGCTTCAGGGATGAAGGCGACCGGGTCTTCGTCGACAACACGCCATAGATCTAGGGGTGAAAGAGGAAAGAGGAAGCAAAGGGCGAGCCAGAATTCTTGAACCAATCGATATGGTAATGGGTTCACGACATTGGTCAACGCAGGTAGGTAGACAGCGCATTAGTGCAAGCGGAGGTGGCCATTACCCTTAGAGGGATAGTAAGCTTTTTCGAGGAAAAACCACAATTTATTACCACATAAATGACGAAATGGACCAGTGTGAAACTGGAAAAGTACTTGTTAGGGCACTCCCACGTTCCAAAGGGCTGCTGTACTGGGGCAGAACGATCCTCTCGTTTCCGGACTGTGTGTAGTGGATGGATCGTCGGGGATGACACTGATAAGAGAGCTTTCCTCACTATGCAATCGAGCGACACCACTTCCGATAGGCGATAGAGAGTCACTAACAAAAGTGACTAGAGGAAAATGGGAAAATTAAGTCGAGCAGTCGATCTGCCGGGCGGTGAGGCGGCAGCGGTGCACGTGATGACTCACCCACGCAAAGCCCAAAGTGGGTTTTGAGGATTTGAATTGTGTTCGCTCCCAGCAAAGTATTCGGTCCCTGAACGAGCACTCGATCACCCCATCTTCGACTTCCTTATCCCCGCGGAAGACTACTCGAAGGACTCTCCCGTGATTCCATTCCGCCTTTTATCATATCCCCGTGGTTTTTCGTTTTTAGGAGTCTAGCTGGGCAGCAGGCGCAACCCCGCCAAAATGTCGTTAACAAACTGCCGTTTCTACGAGGAGAAGTATCCGGAGGTTGACAGCTATGTCATGGTCAACGTGAAGCAGGTGCGTGAATTTGGATGGGTCTCTTGGATCGCCGATATGGGACAGAGTCTAATCAGTGTCGTTCTTGACTTGCCAGATTGCCGAGATGGGCGCATACGTGAAACTTCTCGAATATGACAACATCGACGGAATGATTCTGCTCTCGGAGTTGTCGCGCAGACGTATCCGTAGTATCCAAAAACTCATTCGGATTGGACGCAATGAGGTCGTTATTGTGCTCCGTGTCGATAAGGAGAAGGGATATATCGATCTTTCCAAGCGACGAGTTTCTCCGGAAGATGTGGTCAAGTGTGAGGAGAGATACAACAAGAGCAAGGCCGTGCACTCCATCATGCGCCATGTTGCCGAGGCCACTCAAACCCCGCTCGAGACGCTATATCAGAAGATTGGCTGGCCCTTGAACCAGAAGTACGGGCATTCGCACGATGCGTTCAAGATCTCTATCACGTAAGATCTCTCGTTCGTCGATGCCGCCTGCAGTCATCTAACATTACTCAGTAACACCGACGTGTGGAACGATGTGGAGTTCCCCAGCGAAGCGGTGAAGAAGGAGTTGACGCACTATATCAGCAAGCGACTCACTCCCCACCCTACCAAGATCCGTGCGGATATCGAGGTCACCTGCTTCGGTTACGAAGGAATCGACGCGGTCAAGAACGCCCTGCGCACTGCGGAGGCGAGCAATACCGAAGAGAGCCAAATCAAGGTCAAGCTGGTCGCTCCTCCCCTGTATGTCTTGACTAGCCAGTGCTTGGATAAGGCCATTGGTATCAAGCAGCTCGAGGAGGCTATTCAGCGAATCTCGGCCACGATCAAGGAATCGGGCGGTGGTTGCATCGTCAAGATGGAGCCTAAGGCTGTCACGGAGCACGACGATGCTGTTCTCCAGGAGCTTATGGAGAAGCGCGAGCGCGAGAACATGGAGGTCAGCGGAGATGAGAATGACTCCGAGAGCGACGATGCTGGTGTTCCTGAATAAATCACACACATCCCATCTTGCAGCACCGCCTTCGGCTTATAGCCCCATCCCGACGGAGCAAAAAAGTTTCATCACATCTGCACAATCAGGAGTTGGGTAGCCTTGACATGCCTGGGGACAGATTGATCCTTGGTGTTGGGTTGTCTACTTGGGAGGAGGCCGAAAAAAAAAGTTCAATAGAAAGGTTTCGATGCGATACGATTTATGAGACTGGAGACGGTTTAATGTGCTCGCAGGCGCAATCACGGCTGGCAGCGATGGTGTTGAATCCCATATGAATACATTATGGTGCTATATACACTGTCCTGTACGAGAGTGGCCCTTTCGGGTCACTTGAATATCTGCTGGCCGGTGACTACGCTTCGGACGATGGTGCTTAATTCCATGTTCTGATGTACATAAGCTTTTTTGATCTAAGGATCAATGCAAGTGGTACTTATTGTTAGAGCTTATCAATTTATTATTCTTCAGTTTGGCGAGGGTATTTCTGAAAGCATAAACTTTATATTTAGGATGCATCGTATCTGCGGGATGCGACCGGTCATGCGGTGGTCGGGTGGCCGAGAGTGGGGTAGTTGGATCTCCGATAAGCTAAGGGGGCACCCGGTTTAGTTTACTCCCGGATGTCTCTTTGTTAACATTTCTCACTGACCACCTCCCACTAGACCGTCCTGGTCAGCTCTGTTAATCTACTTACAATGGGCCTTTGGCAGATATTATTCAACAGCGATGGCAGGGAAACTACCAGTGATCGTCCGGCAGGCGACCGACACCGCCGTATGTTATTGTACACATCATTGTCTACCCCAGCCTTGACTGACAGGAATGAGGACAGTGCTTCCTGCCTATGCCGCTGATCCAATCCCTACAGCACTTCCGTCGAAGGAGGTGACCAAAGTCGCTCTCCGGTTGAGATACCAAATCGAGCAGATCATTCCCTGCGAGATTGAGAAAAATATCATTACCAACCCGAACAGCCGCGTGATCACCGCCAGTGTAATCCAAGCCGCCAACCAAGCCGCGGGCGAGGATCTGCGGGGTTGTGTTCCTTTCTGCTTGCTCGTTTGTGTGCGATGGTTCAAGGCGCAGGCCGGGGAAGAGCTCTGGGATTCCGACCTTCATCAGTGCAGAGCTCTGGCATGTGAAGTTATTGCAAAGCGAATGTAGCACAATTCCCCACCCGCATGTCCAGAATTGTAAGGAACAAGTGCTAACAAAGCATGCAGCATCGAGGCCGAGGAGAATCAGGATTTCTTGCTGATCCACACATTGCTGAAGCGGTACTCGATCTTCGTTGACGGGGAAGACACGGCGCCGGCTAACGTGATCGAACGCGCCGTCGATCTCCATGCCCTCGAGGTCATTGGATCTTCTGGATACCAGAAATGTATCAGATGTCTATGGAACGGCTGGTTTTGGCAGGATGGTGAGAACACCACGGAATTCGTCCCCTACCCGGAGAAAGAGAACACCAGCTTCGCTGCTCATTTTCACCCTGATCGGATGAGAACGCCTTCATATCAGAAGATATGCCAAATCCTATTCTCCTTGGTGTACCTTGGGTTGTACACCGAGGTTATAAACACTGTCAATCCAAGTGGAAACTTGGACGTCGTTGAAGGCATTCTCTATATCATGACGCTCGCGTTCATCTGCGATGAGCTGGCGAAACTGTGGAAGATTGGGACGAATTACTTTGACTTCTGGAATGCCCTCAACTCCACAATGTATACGATCCTAGCGATATCATTTTTCTTGCGAGTAGCTGCTTTGACGCATTCTTCTTCCGCCGACGATGCAGAAAGGCAGAGGTTGAATGAGCTGAGCTACAATTTCTTGGCCTTCTCGGGGCCGATGTTTTGGATTCGCATGATTCTCTATCTTGATTCCATCAGGTTCTTTGGCGTTATGGTTGTTGTCCTCCGGGTCATGATGAAAGAAAGTCTGATCTTCTTTGCTCTTCTCTTCGTCGTCCTGATCGGTTTCTTCCAAGCCTTCATCGGGATGGCCCAAGCCTCCAGTGACGTCCCGATCACGAAGACCATCCTGGTAGGGATGGCCAACAGCGTGATGCAAAGCCCCGAATTTGGCCTATTCGAGGAGTTTGCATTTCCTTTTGGCATGATCCTATACTACATCTATAATTTCATCGTCATGACTAGTGAGTCAACGCGACCTTCCATCACATTTCACTGCTGGTTTTGCTGATTTAACGGCTGTGATAGTTCTCTTAAACATCTTGATTGCGCTATACAACAGCGCATATGAAGATATTTCCGGCAATGCTAACGATGAATATATGGCCGTTTTTGCAAAGAAGACAATTCAGTTTATCCGGGCACCCGACGAAAATGTCTTCATACCACGTAAGTTTCTTATGTTCAGGACAGGCATACTGATAAAGGATAAAAATGACTTTGACTAGCATTCAACCTGCTCGAGATCGTATTCTTGATCCTCCCCTTTGAGTGGTGGCTCCCGCGCCAATATTACGCGCGGTTGAACGACATCGTTATGGGCATTATATACTCACCGATCCTCATCGTAACTGCGTACTTCGAGACCCGTGACGCCCGTCGCATCCGATCAAACCGCCGTCGGGGCGACGAGGATGATGACCACCCGCAGGAGTGGGAAGATGTCGCCGGGGGGGTTGACTTTGACCTTGATGATAGCTGGAAACAGGTTGTTGAGGACACCACGCCCAATGTCCGGGAAGACAGTACCGGCTCGGAGATTGCGCAGTTGAAAAAGCAGATCTCGGATCTAACGGATATGATCCGAATCTTTACCGAGAGCTCTGGACCGGGTGTGCCGCGCGATGAGCCGAGCTCAGCTGTCGCAGATGGTGAATGAACTAGTTTATGTTTCGACTGAGTCCCGACTATCATTGTGTCGCAGGACGAGATGACCACCAGGGTCCCTACCGCATTCCAGCGAGCTAATTCTACCAGCCTTGGCGGTCCGACATGCAGTTTCCCAGTCCGCAACCGCGATACATTGCTTCAGAAAAGACCCTATTGATCGGTCAGCACGTGCACGATGCAAAGATGGGTGAGGCAAAAAAAAAAAAGCCAGAAGGCAAAAATGCAAAAAGGAAAGCCCAACGCGGGGGTCGAACCCGCAACCTTGAGATTAAGAGTCTCACGCTCTGCCGATTGAGCTAGCCAGGCTCGCTTGTTATATTGCTGAGCTGATGTTAACATTATATTTTTAGTCTTCTCATATTCGTCCGTAGGGCTGTATCTGTTTCGAATATCGGTGTTCATGCATCAATGTTCATATATGCGATGATGGGGTGGGGTTTTTGTGTAAAGTACTGGTCTCTGAATTTCTGTTTTTTTTTAAGTCTCGCTAGAGTAGGAATCCGAATATGATACATCAATGTACAAGCATTATAATGGATCAATATCATTGAATTTTTGCCTCAGTGTATCATACGGAGTACAGTTGATAGCAAAAGCAGTGTCACCCCTAGGGATCTTTCTGTCTTCCAAATCCTATGCTCAAAAAGAGCACTCAACCTCTTTTGTCACATTCCGGAAGGTCTACTCAAGGTAGCGTCCATTTCCCTCCACTCAGTCACTTACTCGACTATAAGTTTCGCAATATACCGTCCCTCTATCTATGTCGATCTAAATTTACCTTGTGTGCAATCATCCCGGACACCAGATCGTGCAACAGTTAAGATGCAGAAGCGCATGTGCTTTGACGATGTTGCTTGGGAGCAAAGTGAAACCATCTCAGATGCCTGGGTAGCAGAGCTATTCCAAACAGATAACCTACGAGCGATCGGCGATTTCATAGTTAGACATCGAAAGGGAGTCCCAGCCGAACTATGTCAGCCTCGAGCCGGAGCGTTTAACGTATCTTTTCGAATGAGATTCGAGGACGGCGGCTCAGCACTGATCCGCTTCCCAAAACCTGGAGCCACCATGTTCCCTGAGGAAAAGGTGAGAAATGAAGTGGCTGTGATCAAGTATATTCAGGAGTATACGTCGATCTCGGTACCATTTATACTGCATTGGGGGACCAAGAAGGAGAGTCCTCTTAATCTAGGCCCTTTTATCCTGATGGGATACATCGACCACGACACGGATCTGGGCACAGCGTTGAACACGCCAACGCTCAGTATTGAAGAATGTCCGATCCTCGATCCGTCCATTGACATTGACAAGTTGGAAATGCTATACAAACAGCTGGCAGACATCTTGCTTCAGCTGTCCCAGTTATCACTGCCTCGGATCGGCTCCCTTGCCCAGATGAACGACTTCACATGGGATGTTAGACACCGACCTTTATCAATCGGTATGAATGAACTCGTCCGCCTGGGTACTCTGCCACGATCGACATTGCCAACCGACACATTCAAGACAACATCCTCTTATTTCAAAGCCCTCGCCGACTTACACTGTGCACATTTGTCCCATCAACGAAACGATGCAGTAGACTCCGCAAACGACTGCCGGCGTAAGTTTGTCGCCAGACAACTTTTCTCTAGGCTTGCTAGAGAGGGCCGACTTACACATTCTACGAATGAGCATGGACCCTTTAGGCTATGGTGTGACGATCTTCGGCCCTCAAATGTGTTGATCAACAAAGATCTGCAGATCGTTGGTGTCATCGACTGGGAGTTTACATACGCAGCACCAGCTGAGTTTTCCCATGCACCTCCATGGTGGTTACTTCTCGAGCAGCCCGAGTACTGGCCAGATGGAATAGAGGCCTGGGCAGAGGCATATGAAAGTCGTCTTCACACGTTTCTGAAAGTTCTTGCCGAGCGCGAAGAAATAGCTATACAACAGGGCAGGTTAAGACAGGAAGGGAGGCTTTCGGGATGTATGAGACAGAGCTGGGTAGATGGTATTTTTGGGTCACATATGCAGCGAGGAAGAATTTCGCCTTTGACGCAGTCTTCTGGAAGAAACTCGACAATCGGTTTTTTGGTCCTTGCACGGTTGCCGAAGAAGATCGATGGGAGGAGAGGATTGGATTGCTGGGTGAAGAAGGGATTCGGTGTATGGAGCAGGTTGTGGGCAAAAAGCTCGGGCAGATGGAAACGAGGGCTCTATCGTGGGAACCAGAGGAGGTGGATACTGTCAAGCCCATCATTTCGTTATCTACTTAGGTCTGGATTCAACTCAGACATTCTCGTCGGACCTCTTGTAGTGGTGGTGTATTGGATGGGTGCGAATACCCTTGAGGCATGCCGAAGACTCTGTGTATATATTTCCAGTTGTACTCCGCAAGCCCACCACACAACCAATGTCAAAGACAACAATAAACCTACTTCGAATTTGTTCCCCGGTGTATACTCATGCATAGTGCCAGTATATCTCAACCCAAACGAAACAAAAAAAAAAACCAAAAAAAAAGGTAAAAAGAAAAGGCGCTCTAACCATCCAAAATACCGCATGCGACGCCACCAACCACTCTCTATTCCTACATCAAACCTTATATACAACCCACAGGGCTGAAGACACCAACACATAACGATCGCCTATAAGCCACCCTGCAAGGCACATACCTGCATTGAGCCATCACCGAGCAATAGGTCTACTCGCCTCAAGTATATTCTGTTCCCTCATGCCGAGCGGTGGGCCCTATATAAACCCCGTACATCCGGCCGCATCACCATGCAGAGCTAATGCACGTTTGTGTTGACACCTGCTTATTCTACTAACTAGTCAAATTATCCCTACAGGAAAAAAAATACAAAGAGTTAGATCACACATAAAATTAAAAGAAATATACAATGAAAACATCTGATTGATACAACAAGTAGTGCCAGGAAAAAAAAGAAAAAGAAAAAAGATAAGAATAAAGCCCAACGCGGGGGTCGAACCCGCAACCTTGAGATTAAGAGTCTCACGCTCTGCCGATTGAGCTAGCCAGGCGAGCTTATATGAAAGGTTGTGCTTGGTTGTTTTATCACGATTAACTGGGTTTTTACTCTGCTTTGAGTCGGCTGGCGACCATTTGCTAGACGTCGTGCATTATTCAAAAGACTAGATCGGATCGCAGGTGAGACTTCGACGTGCTAGATTTTACCCGAGAATATTTTCTCTTCTATTTTATTATTGAAAAAGTATAGCTTGTCGCCCAACGAAAAATTAGCCTGTTCGTTAAAGCTGTCGTGTAAAATACACCTGACGGGGCTCACATCGAGGCCATGGCAGCTATGCACGAGACACCATCATTCAGAATGTCAAAGCCTCTCGTATAGGGTCTGTAGTGTCGCAAGAGACCAAACTACTGGCGTAGTCAGCACAAGCTACTGACCTCGCCCTTTTTTACTTTATATCTAAACAGTGGGAGAAAGTATCATAGAAGTAAATATGACAGGTGATTCACATATTGATGACGCCTGATGCCATGCAAATAAGACGAGCTCATACAAACGCCGCGCCAAATACCAAAGCCAAGCCAAGCCAAGCCAAGCCACGAAAGTTAAGTAAGAACAAGAAGGGGAAAAAAAAAAAAAAAAAAGCAAAGTAAACCGCCAACGGAGGCAGGCTCAAATAGACTGGGGTACCCGGGTTCAGAATAAAAGGCCGTGTTCAGTTCGTCGCCAAATTACCAGTGTAAACGTTCTCAAAGTCAAGCCCATCCAACATCCCGTTGATCCGGTCGATCTCACGGGAGAGATCCTCTACGTTCATTGCCAAGCTGCTGACTTCGTCGAACTTGCGGCGCCGGTTGGCGTCTGCAATCATTTCGGAGACGAAGAATTTCTGCTCTTCGAGTACGATGAGCCGCTCGCGTAGCGACTTCTCCTCTGCTTCTAGGGCAGACACGGCGCTGCTTGTGTCGCTTGCAAGGCTGCAGTTGCTGCCGCCGGCTGCTGCACTGCCGTACTTGATAGACGCCAGGGCAGATCCTTGGCGGCGATGCCCTGCGGCACCAGGGCCTGGACTATCAGGGGAGCTGACAGGGTTGGGTATTCGTCCGTGGGGTGTGGCGTGTTTGAGAACCTTGGGCAAGGATTTCAAAGGAAGCATGTGCAGGTGGAGGAAATTGCTCGCCTGCTGGTAGATTGCTTTCTGAAGATTCTTCTGCATGGGCGATTCTGTGGGAAGATCACGTATTCGTCTAGCGGCGATATTATACTGAGCAAAGGAATCGGTAAGCCGCCTGCGAACTTTGGAGGCTTCCGCTATTTGGTTAGATGTGGGTGGCCGCTTGGGGTCTCTGCGGAAAATGGTCAGTGATCATTGAGACAACAGTAAACATTTGGTAAATGCTTCGACTGCAAGACATACTGTAAAGCCACCAGAAGCTTTTGAAACTTGGGCATAAGGATCCGAATGCCCCTTTCAAATTGAATTAGATTCTCGTAAGTTTTTAAATCTGGAGGCTTCCGCATGACGTCGGCTTCGAAGTCGCGCCGGTCAAATAAAGTTGCTCTGCAGTCCTTGCAAAGCCGGACATCGATATCTATAGAGCCAGTATCCGGCGCCTTTTCCGCGGATGTTTGCGAAACTGCAGATGGTAAGTCGGGGCGAGAACAGTGGAGAATGGAACAACATACGAGGTGTGATACTCAAAGGCACTGCACTCGAGCACCCAGTCTCTGGGTCGCCGCAAACAACTCGCCCGCAAGTTCTGCAATGATGCCTTCGAAACGTATAGCTGGAAAACTCCTGCTGGCAGAATGGACACCTAGACACGCTGGAATCATCCTGCCAGCTGATGATGCTCTGTTCCAGAGCCTTCCGTTGATCAGTCTGGCCCAGGAGTGGCCAGCGCTTAGTCGCGCCGGACTGGATCTGGTCCCGAGGTAAAGCAGCGAGGAGCTGGGTAAGACGTGTCAAACGTTTCTCCAGCCGGGATACCTCGAAGAACGCTTTGCCGACAGTTTGCTTCCTCACAGCTTGGAACTCGTCCATCCGATCTCGTACGACGCCTGCGACGGTTAGCTCTTGCCCCCAACAACGGAGCGAAAAGAGTTGCATACCGTTGTGGTCGTTGTATCCTTCCCGAGACTTATAACAGGTCTCGCAGACCCGGTACCACAAGCCCCGCACAGGCTCATGCTGTGCAGACCTGGATAGCCTCATCTGATACATGGTATGCTCCTCGCAGAACAACTTCCCGCACTTACGGCAATTTACACACCCGTTGGTCGCGTTGAGCCGCTGCCCGCATGACGGCTCCAGGCAGACATCGTAAA